AAGACTCAAACAACAAATGACCAAGACAACCATGCCATAAATAGGCCTGACTCTTACTAGAATGACTCATAGACTCTAAAGCAACAACACCAACTTATTCTCCAACACGTAGAGACCATCCACCTTATTACCTCTACCAATCATCYTCCCGGAGGTCAAATCCTGAAAAACACCAAAAGGGAAAAAGGTTACTGAGCAATTTAAGGAATGAGTAATACTACTAATCTGGAACTTCTTCATACACTGCCAGGTAGCCAGCAACATCTGGAACTTCTTCCTACAGCTAGTTGGCTATAGTTGGGTGGCTCCTAAGCACCTTCAGGAACTGATTTCTCAGTGGCAAGAAAGAGGTCTGAGCAAGAGAGGTAAGACTTACTGGCTGATAGTACTTCATGTTGTACTCTGGGGAATTTGGGAGGAAAGGAACAATCGACTGTTTGAAAATAAGATAAAATCTAAGGGTGAGTTGATCAACCACATCACTTATCACTACACTTTGTGGGCTTCCAGCTCAAAGGAGTTCACAGGAATCAATGTTAACGACCTCAACAGAAATGTGTATAACTTGCTGTTCTCCTCCCCCTCTATCCCACCCTCCCACCCCAGAGTTCCCTCAATAAGAAGGGAAGGAACTTGGACTCGAAGCTTTGATGGAAGTGCTTATGGTAACCCTGGAGGTGCCAGCATAGGGAGAATTCTAAGAGATGAAAACGGACTCACCTGTTGGGTATACAGTGGACCAATTGGGATAATTGACTCCACAAAGGCAGAAATGTTAGCAGCTCTCACAAGGATTCGCCTAGTCAGCAAACTGGGTATTCAGAACTTCTCCATCGAAGGTGACTTAGCAAATACTAGAAGATGGTTATGACAACAAGAGGCTGGACCTTGGAGACTTAGTCACTTCTTAACAGAGGCAAGGGACCTATTGGCTCATACAAATGTTTCTCTATACTGGACCCCAAGGGAGCTAAATGCCATTGCAGATGGTCTAGCAAAATTAGGAGTCATTCTAGAGACCTTGTACTGTGATAAATTTCCTCCTGTGTAATTCTCAGGGGTCTGGCCCTTGTTTTGTATTTGTACACCTTCTTGTGCACCCCTCTTTCCTTTAATGAAATTAGTTAACTACTTTCAAAAAAAAAAAGCAATACTGCTAATGGAAAGTAAATTGATAGGTAATTTAAGAACATGCAGCACATTAGAGAGAGTGAGGCCAAACAGAAGGGAGATGGTTCCTTGACCAGCAATGGTAGATAAAGACCCATTAGCTAGTCTCACCTTGTCTCTCCCAAAGAGAAAATTATATGCCTGAAACAAGTTGGACTTACTTGTCATGTGGTTTAAGGCTCCAGAGTCAATGATCCAAGGAGACTCAGATGTGTGAGATGACACATGGAAGGCAGTAGCAGAGTTACCTAATGTAAATGCCAAGGAGGTAGGTGGTGTAGGACCCGAGTCCATATGACGAAGTGTCCTACCACACAATTCCAAATGATCACGGAAGGAGTTGACAATTTCTTCCTCCAGATCAAAAACAGTAGGGCGATCCTAAGATACAGTGTGGGAAGAAGTCTCTTGAGTTGCCACATTTGTTGAATTGTACTTCTTTTGGCTTTGTTGGGATTGGCTTCTTATTTTGATTAGTTGATTTTTTGCTCAACTCCTAAGCCCACTTTGACTTCCCATGAAGACTCCAACAGGTCTCTCTAGTGTGCCTAGGCCACTGATAGTGAGTACACCACAGTTTATCCTTGTCCTCCACTCTTTTCTAGGAACCATCCCTCTTAAAAGCAACTAGCTCCCCCTCAGAAGTATTCATCACATTTTTTCTACTTTCTTCTAACTGCACTAAAACTTCTTCAGACTGAAGGGAGGTCTTTACTTCCAAGGATTTGAACCCTAATAGATTCATACATAGGGTTCAGCCCCAATAGAAATGCAAACACCCTCTGTTGGGAGACTAGAGTCTTGTAGGCTTTGGCACCATCTTCACATTTCCAATTCATATTCTAGTAGTGATCCAGCTACTTCCAAATTGAAGTCAAGTCCTAGTAATACACGGAAAGACTTCTTTCCCCTTGCTTACATGTAGTAGGCGCAGCTTGCAGTTGATAAATTTCTGCATAGTGTCTTTGTTCTGAATATGTTGTTTTTGCTTGTTCCCAAATTTCGACAGCAGACTCAGCCCACATAAAGTTTCTCCTTACTTGCGGGAGCATAGATACAAATAACCAAGACATCACCATACTATTTTCTTGGTTCCATTTGTCGTGTTCAGCACTCCCAGATCTTGATTCTTTAATTCCCCAATTGATATACCCTATTTCCCCCCTTGCTGTAATGTAAAGCTTAATTCCTCTCGACCGCTCCAAATAATTGAGGCCATCTAATGGAACAACAGCCATGGGAAAGGTCATGTTGACACTCCCACCTAGTTCACTATGGCTGGAAGACATACCCGAGGTAGCTGTATCCTCAGAGGACATGGTATACCAACTGAAAATATCACTTCCAACTACAGACCAGATGTCTCAAACACACAAATAAAGGTTCTGGTATAGGACAGCAGTGGAAAAACTTTACCAGAAAAAAAATCACACGTCTGACAGCAACGCAACACCACTAGGGAGCCAAAAAAACTAGAAGCGCAGTCGCAATGCTAGGTTATCCACCAAATCGACACAGTCCAAAAAACAGCAGAACAGGCCCATCAATCACAATCATTCATTCAAAAATGTCACACAATGACCACAGCCACCAAACAGGACATACGTCTCCTGTCGCAGTCATCATCAATCATTCTCAACCAATAAACATCACCCATCTGGGTACAGGAAGGATCACACAATCCATATAGGTGTTAAACACCACAAAAAACTTCACAGCATTCTGTCACCACGAGCAAACAGCTCTGTCTTGGCACACCGCCAAGAGAAAAGCAAAAGAAAGGTAGAAACTCCTCTCAGATCAGTCTAGTGTGATTTTTCCTGAGATTGATCTGGAAAACAGCAAAGGAGGAAGAAAAACAAGGTTCGATCTGTCTTCAGACCCACAAAACCTGCTCTGATACCATGTTTTCTGGGTAGAAATAAGAGAGAAAATAGAGAAGCAGAGAAAGGAAGAGAGTAGAGAGAAAAGAAGAAGAAAGAAACAGAAAATGGAGAGGCAAAAAAACTTAGCTGGTGGTGCCAGCTTTTTCTTATATTTTAGGGCAGCACACTAATCACATAATAAAGAGTAAAAAGACCACAGTACCTCTGCGGCCCATAATACATAAAAAACTAACAGTTTTAACAACTTCAAAATGTGTGTACCACATTTTGGCACACACACAACGCCACAACAAACATATAGACCCTTTGGGGTAGATCCTACTAGAACCAAGAAAACACAGGAACTACAGAATTGCCATCATCATACTGATTCAAAGAAAAACCAACTCCTGAATTACTTATGCAATCGAAGACAAACTAATTGTGATTAGACTATTTAAACTCTTAGGATGGAAAACCCCACTCACCCAAATACCCCTACAGTTGTAAACACAAAAGATCAGGAAAAATCCACATTTGACCACATAGCTCTTGCATTAATTGCCCAAGGTATATCTTCAAAGTTCATCTTATGGTCTTAAGCAGGATAACACCGAGAAACTCATAAAATCAAGAATGTGAAAAATATTGGAATATAATTCTCTCCAAAGATTTGATGTGGAAACCTCTTTCAACTTATCTGAGGCTTTCAGCCACATAACAACCAAGATCCTTAACATGCTTATCATGTTATGAGTGGAGCACCTTTTATCCAGGAAACTTTTCATCTTTTTAGCATTAAAATGATAATGTTACAATGTAATAGGCAGTTCATTGCTTTCCACTATAACATACTTGACTCCAAAAGTAATGTTTTTTTATACACACAACCACATCTGCCCAAAATAACATCTTTTATTTTATTTCCTTCCAACAGGTCATTGCTTTCTACAACAATGACAGGTAGGAAATAGAACCAGTCCTAAAGAAGCTTTACATTATCTCAGTAGGGGGCTGATTTAAGAATTCCTATTTATGGAAGCATCATGCCCAATGTTTGTGAATTTGTCATTGACCTGGAAAGTTGAACCAGGGAACTGTGCAGCTGACCAGGTCCCAGTTTTTAATAATTTTAATTATTACTATGGGCAAATCACCCAATTGAACAGCTGAACTGGTGAACCAACCAGCTTCCCAGTCCAAACTGCTGGTAAGTTTTTAAAGCAATGATTATACCAACAAAGGATAAATTACTTCTGCCTTTCTCATAAATTGGAAGAACCTGGTAAAACCATGCAACTGATGGATTTTTTTAATTGTTTCATAACCAGTTGCTTATTAAAATAAACTTTCTACACCCTTTGTAATACGATGATTATCATCTTTCAAAAAAACACCTTTTAAGAAGGCATCCAATAATATATTGTCTCCACATTTATACAAATTTATTTTCCAATAGCACCCTCCCATTGTTTAGTGATAGAATGCAAGGGAAAATTATAAACTGGTTTTCTTCATTCCAGATAATCAAGGTGTAAACATCCTTCAACGAAGGTGCTGTTTGATAACAGTTTATGTGGCTGAACTTAAGGGCTTATTACTGTCTTTTTGTGAATAAGTCATTAAGTAGGTTGTGAGTACTTTAATGGCTACATGGCATGATGGGTTATTGCTGTACCCCTAAATAACTTATGATATTGCATTTTATTCACAAAAGACAAAGCAATAAGTCATTCAGTTTAACTATTGTAGCTGTTATAAACGGGTCCCTAAGCCAAAGAATTACTGAAAGAACAGGATTGATTGGACGCAATCCCTTTGGGAGGTTTTGATATTTTATACTCTTTCTCTATTGCTACTTTGTCTTTGATTATGTTATCAACTAAAAAAAGAAAAACATGATTGATTGAACAGGACAATGCATTTTGCATCAAGTACTGAAACAATATAATTTTCCAAACGTACCTCTTCATCTACTTCCGGTTGTCCATCAAAACGTAATAATACAGGCAAAATGTATGACTCATCATTCTGAAACCACAATGATCATAAAAGAAGGTTAATAGATTGTTGGGCTCAACATATACAGATTTTCCAAACTGCAAAGCTGCAGATAATTTAAAAAGCCAAAAAAATCTATTTATGTATAACCTAAAGATCCTTATTTCTTAATTTAATAGGTAAGAGGAGAGTAAGCATCTTGCAGCCTTGGAGGTATGAAGCTTTGAAGTAGCCACCATATGAAGGATTGCAGATGCATGAAATCCAAGAGGAACTATGGGTGAATGTTGAATAATTAGTAGGAAGAAGGTATTGATAGGATTAAAAAAAGAAAAAAAAAAGACTTGGAGAATGAATTCCATGTCAAAATAATGCAACAAATATACCTAAAATGAGACTTGAGAAATAAAAGAGCCTAAGAATTAAGAATTAAACCAATAAATTAGCCATACTTTGGCAAAATTTGTTTTTGTCTCTTTATAAAATTAAAAAATAAATAAATCATTGTGTTAATAAGGACTTGTACTCTATGATAATTGGCATATCCCTGTTCAGGACTCAGCAGAAACAAGTAATCAGATTCAGGTGTAAAAGGCCTCTTCTTTGAGAAAATTATATAGCATCAGGCCCAAGTACCATTTCATCTGTTGGCAGCACATCAAGATAAGGAGCAAGCTCCTCTGCTGTGACAACACCGCCATTCGAAGCTATGTATTGTCCAATCTGCAGAAACAATTTAAGATATAAAATTATAAAGATCTTATGGAAGAAATTTCATGCATCTTGGTAGAAATTATATTCAAGCAGTTAAGCGAGCACAATAAAAAGTGTCAGTGTCTATGTGCGTGCAAGCAAAATCATAGTGAGGCACATAGCAAGGGAGAGAAGGTATAAAACAATATTCTACTTCCAATTTCCAAAACATTCAGAAGAAAGTTACATACTTAATATCTTCAAATATCCATCTGGAATTTTTTTAGATTTTTCTTTTCTAATAAGCTCTAAGAAATGATCTAGTCATACTAATAAATTTTAAATCTCAGAACATCATCATCCATGCCTTATACCAACTATATGGAGTTGGCTACATGAATCCTGTTTCTCCAAAACATATGCATTCAGTTTTGCATTAATATTGGGTTTTCTCTTGGTATTTTCCCCTCTTTGAAACCCTTTGTAGTGGAGATGATAGCTATCCTATTTTCCTTTCTCAGTGAGTCTGGATGGTATTGTTCCTCCCAAGGTCAAAGTCGTTTGTCAACAAGTAACTCAGATGAAAATAAATATCTATAGCATGCTCCAAAGAGAAGAAAAATGGGACTTGGAAATAACAGACATATTTGCATCCTTTTGCTTTTATTTGGATAGTTCATATTCAGGCTAATTTTGTGCTTTTCTTCTCATTCTCCTAATGTTAATTAACAAAAATATGTTACATGGACACTTCAAAATGGGCACCRTACCTTTGCTGGATACATGTGAACTGCTAACACCAAGACTAATGCTAACATAGCAATTTAGGGGACTCTTCTTTGTCAACTTTGTAATATGTGACCAAGGAACCTAGATTTTAGGACAGAATTTGTGAAAGATTTGTTTATTTATTACATTTGAAGGCTAGAAATTTCACTKTTCTGACCTACATTCTTGAAATTTATGGGTTCAATTGTTCGATTTAATCGACTGCATGAGCAATTTGATGCAGTTAAAGACTTAAATAAATAATTCCGTACCTTACATGAGGTGAACCAATAATAGTACAAATTATGGGTCAATATGAAATCTAGAAAAAGAAAGACAAAGCAAAACACAAAACCAACAACAAGAAAGCACTAGATTCAGTTGTCAACAATTACCAACTTCCACCTCTCTTCTTCAATTCCTTGATTTGGATCTCCATCACCAAATACAAATGAGAAAACCTACAGTAGAATACTCATAAAAGTTAATTTCAGAAATTGAAATTGTATGTCAGAAAGATGCAATGAATGAGCCAATTTTCACATTACAGATTCAATGAAATTCATCCCATCCTCATCAGTTCTTATGCGCCGCCTCCTGTAGTAATATGGATCCCAATACCTATAAAACAGACAATCTATGAGACATAAAAATCTAAATGTTTAAAAAATCATTTCTGCATTTCAAATTGACACGCAGTTGCATGAGAATAAGTAAATTGACTCAGAATGGAACCGTCATAGGTTTTGTAAGAAGGAAACTCCCTCTCCCAAACTGTCTTTGACATAGAACAACAATCATATTTCACTACAACTGCTGTATAAATAGCAATTTATTGAAACTTTGGACAATTTTTAAGATATACAAAGCAAAACAGCAATCCAGTTTACTGCTACAGCAACTGAGAATCACTTTATAGGTTTGTTAAAGAAAAACAGCCAAGGACTATGGCACAATCAACACATCATGAGGGAGATAATATACTTGGCACAGGAACTGGATACCATGTCCTCTTGGGTTCAATGATGAGAAAATAGTTTTGTAGATGCAATGGACAAAACAAGGGTGAAAAGGGATGCATAATTTGTTAAAGAATGTATGCCTTCAGCTGTCAGTTCCAATAGAAAGATTTGATCTGACATTATTATGAATAAAAGTCAATATTTCATCTGTCACTTGGTATGTGTATGTGTTTTCCCCTAAGTCTTACATTATAGGATCTAAGACACCATATTCAGTATGTAGGCTTAAAAGTTCTCAACCAGTGGATAAACATGGGGAGTTTATCCTAATAAGGTTGGCATTCTTATACCACCCAAGTTGTGAAGCAGTTTGCCTCAACTGCTGGGGTTGGACCCAAGGTATGAGAATGGATGTTTGTGAAACACTAAACCATACCATTTCCAGGTTGGTCTACTTTTTTTTTTTATCAATATCTGGATATCATTAGATTAAAAGAATTTAGTTACAGCACTCCAAAGAGAGATAAACAGGCTTAACTCTCTCCAGGAAGATAACAAAAAAGAAAAAGTTACAGAACAGCCCAAAACATTTGATCCCTTCCCACCCCCTGCTTTCCAGATTGATCTACTTTTGATATGCCAACTAGTGAAGTCCTTCCGGGGCCAATACCTGGGTATGTTGGAGAAGATTAGGAATGGTATCTGGGCTGGTGATCACTGTGATAGGATCTACCACTTTGTCAAACAAAGAGAATATCCCGTACATACTCTCTGATGGAAACTGCAAAATTGTCAATAGTAGATTTTAAATGTGTTTTGGAATTGATTTTGCAAAATAATACTTTATATAAACATATAGTTTATTTTGAAATTATTATATAAATAAATAATTTATTTTGAAATTGTTTGCAAAACATTTTTCCTAGGGTCCATCATTGAAGAGAGTGTTGCATTGGGCTTAGAGGCAAGGGGAAGAGGTTCTTTCCTAATTATCAATGTTAGATATTATTGATAGAGAAATTACACTACAAATATTCATGTAAGAACCTTTTGTTCTGATGAATATATTTCAGCTTGGACCAATGTGCCCAAGTTCTTAGGGTGGCATTACTTGGGCATTATTATGTTAGACATAATTGGGCTGGTTTGAGGCCCAATTCCCAAGGACGATCTCTTTTTAGTGAAGAGAGAGAAATTGGCCTAGGTAGGTCCCACCTCCTCTAAGAGAGGAGGTGGTCTATATTGGTCCAAATAAGGGGGCTTGTGGGTCCCATGCCATATAATCTTTAACTCCTCTCTCTTCTCTTGTATTTAAGACAATGTTAGTTACTAATTTGGAGGGCTTCTAATTAGATTAAAAGTTTCCTACTTTGACTAGTCAAGAAGGTCTGAACCGAATTATAGATTAGCTATTATTGAGACCTTTCTAATATGATTGGGAAAGTTTCTTGGATTCAAATTAGGACTCCCCTAAGGTCTATTTAAGCTGGAATTCACCCAGCTCTAGGACTAACAATAGCTCTTAGTYTCACACAATTTCAGCTCTTAGACTCTCTCCCATACTAGATTTTTTTTTTTTTTTTGATAAACAAAGAATCAGATTCCATTAATTCAATGATAGGTTACATGAAAATCCCCTTAGAGGGGCGCAAGGTGCCACCTCTCCAAACACATAAACTACATCAAAGAGTACATGAATGTCAAAACAAAAGTTACAGTTGTGCCCAGAACAATGTTTCCTATTTGTCCCTTGTTTTACCAAGACATCAGCAATTGCATTAGCTTATCTCCCAACTCACTGTACTGTTACAGACATATTCCTTGTCAGCCATTTGAATTTCTTTAACTCATTTTTGTAGCCCCATGTGACATCCTCCAGATTATTTAACCAGTCCACCAGTCTTAGAGTCTCCTTCAATCAGAAGCTGCTCCACACCCATTTCTTTTGCAAGAAGTATTCCTTGTATTGCAGCAAATAGCTCTGCCCAAATAGGGTTCCCAAACACCTAATGGGCCAGAGTAGAGTATGGAAACCTCTCCAGCCTCCTTCCTTAGTACACCTCCCAACCCAGAGGGACCTGGGTTACCCTGGCTGCTCCCATCAAAATTCAGCTTCAATGAACCGTGAAGAGGGAGGACCCAGCTAGTCAATACCCTTACCTTGGAGGAGAAACAGCTTGCTACTGATAACCAATCCCTCCAACAGTCAGTAAAGGAGAAATAGCTAAACAATTCCAGAGTCTTTAACCAATGTATTGCCCCGTACATAATGCAGTCCTTCAAGGCCTAACTGCTCCTCCCCTTTTCCTAGAAGATCCTAGCATTCCTTTCTTCCCAAACTATCCATATCAAAGCTGCCAAAACACACCTCCACATTTTCCTTCCTCTTTTATGGGGCCAAGAGAACATAGAAGGGTTAAAGATTATGCTTAATTCTGCTGGCATATCCCAATTACACCCAAACAAAGATAGGAACCAAATTACAGTCCTCACCATGAGATCAGCAAAGAGTGCACCAGTTTGGTGAAATACAAAGGAAAGGTCTTCTCTTTTGTAAGTTATCCATTGTGTTTACTTTACCATAAYATACTTCCCAACACAAAGCCATAACCTTGTGGGGAATTGGCCTACACTAGACTTCTTTGGAAGGGAAACTTTGTTGAGAGGATGTTTAGCAAAGGAATTTAAAAAAGGAACCACAAGAAAAATACTCATTGTGGTGTATGGCCCAAATCCTCTTGTCAGGCTCCAAACTATCCAACCAAACCTTATCAAGRAGACAAAGAAGAGTAGACAAACACTCAACTTCCTCATCCCTTAACCCTCTACGGAAACCAAAATCCCAAGACAACGCCAACAAATTTAAAACCGACAGAAGGAATTTTGAGRTCACCTCTTTTTGATACAAAGAAACAAAGTACAAGGATGGAAAAAGGACTTTTAAAGGAAACCCGACACAATTGAGGAACTGCGGAAGAATTTTATGAATTGCTTTCCATGGTGATGCCAAGTTAGCCCTCCTTGATGCGCAAGCATCCCAACCACTCTCTAAGCATCCATAATACTCTTCACCRCTTCGTGTCAGAGTCTATCTCACTCCCAAGGCCACCTCCACAACCACTTCCCTGACAAAGCTGAATTCTTTTTAAGCACATTCCCAAGCCCTAATCCTCCTTCCTCTTTGCTTGTACCCACAACCCCCCAACTGACTAAGTGGTCTTTCTTACCTTCTCCTGGTTCCCAAAGAAAATCTCTCATTAATTTTTCCAGTTTCATCGCTTCCCTAGCCGGTATCCTAAAGACAAAGAGGTAATAAGTAGGTAGGTTCGTGAGGGTAGCTCTTATCAAAGTGACCCTCCCATCCAAAGAGATATAACTTTTCTTCCACAAAGCTAATCTCTTTTCGAACTTTTCTAAGATTGGGGTCCAGAACCTACCCTCCCTAGGGTTTGCCCCCAACAGAAGCCCTAAATAGGACAAAGGCCAGGAGGAAATGGATCACTCAAGACAATCTACAACAGCCTCAACCTCTTCAAAGTCCACATTGACTTCAGTTGTGCAACTCTTTTCTAAATTGATTTTCAAATTGGAAACTCCTTCGAAGGCTCTAATCATTTCTTTCAGGTTTCCCACCTTCTCACTAAATCCTCCATCACAGAAGATCATCAAGTCATCTACAAACTGAAGGTGAGTTACTGGAATTCGGTTTGTACCTATTCTCCATCCCCTTATCACATCTTCCCTATCCGCCCTGGTGATAATTCGATTGAACACATCAGCTACCAGGGTAAAGAGAAAAGGTGAAAATGGATCCCTTGTCTAATACCCCTACTAGCTAGAAAAAAATCCCTTACCACCCCATTTACTAGGATGGAATAGTGAGAAGAGTTGACACAACCAAACACCCAACTACACCATCTTTCTCCAAACCCACACTTCCTCAAAACCTCTACTAGGAATTGCCAGTCCACCAAGTCATAGGATTTCTCAAGATCAAGCTTACAAAAAAAGCCTCTTTGCTTAGACCTCTTCATCTCCTCCACACATTTGTTGGCAATCAAGATCCAATCAATTATATGCCGTCCTTGGATGAATGCCCCTTGGGCTTGACTAATAATGGAGGGAAGGATTTCTTTAATCCTCAAAGACAGGACCTTGGACAAGATTTTATAAATACTAGTCACCAAACTAATTGGCCCGAAGTCTTTAAGATAGATAGATAGCATCAGATTTCTTTGGAATTAGAGCCAAGGAAGTAGCATTAATGCCTCGGCTGACTATATGCTTATCTGCAAACTCATTAAAAACCTCACAAAGATCATTTTTATCACCTCCCAACAATCTTGGTAAAAGGCCATTGTAAAATCATTTGGACCTAGAGCTTTGGATCTATATCCATTAAGAAAACCGCCTTCCTAATCTCTTCTTCCTCAAAATTTCTTTCCAGCCACCTAACCTGATCTTCATCCAAACTTGGCCAATCTACCCCTTCCGTTTCCAACCTCTCATCCAAGGGTCTTCTATAAATTGATCTGAAATGATCCACAAAGTTCTTGGCAATATCATTCTGATTAGTGAATACCTCCCCTCCCCCCCCCCTCTAACTTAGACACAGTTTTTTCTCTCTCCCATACTAGATTCAATCTAAGGTTTCTCTCTTCTTCCTCCTAATGCTAACATTGATCCCTTAAGTTGCTAGATTTTGGTGAACTATTCTTCACTTAAAGAGGCAAATATCTGACACAAAAGTTGTTGTACACAAGAGGTGACAACTATTGGAATGATTTGAAGGCTGCACCATCTTCATCCTTCTCGTCAATTTAGAGAGGAGATCAAGGAGACTTGGTCGTGAACACCATTGATGGTGCTGCATATGTGGTGAGCATTCTCCATCATCTTGAAGTAATTTCTGACCTCCTTTGAGTCTGATTTGATTTGGTCCAACTCCATGTTTAATCCTATGTAGGGAGAAAATGTTTCTCCTAGGCAAAGTGTTTCAGCATATGGCATTTTTCACTACAACGTTTTTGAACTTAATGCTTGCTAAGGGCTGGAATTTCTTGCTATTTTCCACTTTAGAACTTTCATAATTTTTTGTGTCAATTTAATATATTTAGAAAGGAAGAGGTTGGGAAGCCATATGGCAGCCTATACTGAAGGTTGCTTGGCATTTCTGAATATAATTCATACTTGCTTCTTAACGAATAAAACTCTAACAGTTACCTATCAAAGAAAAAGCTGAGATTCACTAATACATAATTGATGTTGTTTCTTTCCACTTAAAGATTAATATATATGCTGGATGCTCACACCTAGAAGAGTAAACTGTTACACTGGGCACCATGAGTACAATACTCAGATTTGTTTCCCTCTTTAAGTAATTGACATTTTTTATTAACTGCAAACCCATGGTATCAAAGACACAGGACTGTTACCCAAAAATGAAAGAGCCAGAAAAAAGAAGCACAATGACTAGGGGAAGTATTTGAAATACATAGTGATTTTCCTATTCTCTTGAGTAGTTGTAGCTAAGCGAAGCTTGTTGGGTGATTCTTACGTTCTGTTTTTTTTTTTTTTTTTCATTACGTGGTTTTGTGTCAAGTGTATTGCTATCCTCTAGTGTGGAAACTTGTCTCGGTGCTTTGGCTAGCTTTCTACTTCTTATCTTTGATTTGATCATTAATAAATCTTTTTGATAGATAAAAGTAATGGATTTTATTAATAAGCAGGAGATAATGTACATATATATCAATCCATGGGAGATGAGCTTATCTCACCCAGAAAAGAAAGAAGTAAATACAAATGAGACCAGAAAATAAAACAGAAACCCACTTTCTAGGTGAGATAAACTTACCTCACCAAGAAGAAGAAAGAAAAATAAAATGAGCCCAGAACAGGTGCTCCCTGTTTATCCCTTGCTTGATAATTAATAAATCTTTCTTCACTATTTATCCTTTTTTTTAAGAAGAAGAAGAAGGTAAGGTGTTGTATCAAGTATCAAAATGGATCAAAATATACAACTAACCCAGACCCCTGTACAATGAGAAAACRAGAAAGAAAGAAAGAAAGAAAAGATGCTGAAATACATAGATATTGAAAAAAAAAATGGATCTAGCAAAATAGTCATTAAGTTATAGGAAACAGACCAGAAACCAACTACATCCTCTTGCAATAACAAAATGCAAACAATAGCATTGATAAAAAAATGCAAACAACAGCCAAAGTTAATAGACAGTGCTTTTAATAAATATTGATTGCACTGAATTGTGTTTTTTTAAGTACAACAAAGCAACAGTGACAACAAAAACAACCAAAAAAATAGAAAACCATGATGATAACAGGTCTAGAAGATCTTACCAAAACAAATCAGATGGACCAAAAAAGAATGTGAAACCTGAATCATAGGATCTGGTGCCACGCCTTCCACGACTGTCTTCTTCACTATTGTAGAACAAGCAGAAAATAACAAGATTACACTGTTGATATATCCATAATACAGTGGAATGAACAGAATAGCCAATTTTCCAGAAGGCCAGAATAGAAAGAACACAGAATGCTGAATTGAGATAATAGGAAGTGAAAACATTAGAAGCATTGAAATTGAAACAAAATACCTTCGGCTTGATAGCAGAGCAATAATTGTGGTGTAAACAAGAACTATTGATGCAACTAGAGCTGTCCCAAATGAAACCCTTATTAAATATTCAGCTGCAGACTGTAATAGAAAAGTTAGCCTTTGATTCTGAAAAAAAAAAGTATAAGCCTACAATGGAGTTTACTGACAGAGGAAAAAATTGAAACAACATCTAGGGGCTATCAATACCTTTGCTTTTTCAAGCACAGGTTCAATCCTCATCCTGAAAGATTTAGCTGCAAGCTTCGAGCGATAATCCCTTGGAAAAACATAAAGAACATCACCTTCATCTGAAACCTGTCAACACCATCTTGAAAGAAAATTGCAGTTACGAAATCAAGAACTTCGAAGAGCCATAAGTACTTAAAACTGCAGATGTTGGGTCATTGATGAAAAAAACTGTAGATATTGTTTCCTTGCAAAAACTGCGCAACCAAGATATTAAAAATGCAAACATATATGTGTATGCCTACTGATMAAAAAAAACATATATGTGTGTGCCTAAATAGTTGAAGAAAATATTACCATCTCAACCTAAACTTGTTTTTTTTTCTGCTGTTAACCAGAAGTCACCGAATTAAAGCTAAGAAGCCAAAACAAACATACATGTGTGTGTCTAAATAGTTAAAAGAGATTAAGAGAATACTCCAACTCGGCCTAAAATTGGTTTCTTTTTTCCTGTCATTTACTTGAAGTCACTGAACTAAGCTAAGAAGCCAAAACAAGTGACCAATCTAATTCAAGGTGCAAAAAATTACAATCCAACAACTATTACCTGCTATATAGTAATTGTTTGGTTCACAAGTATTCCAATTTAGAGCAAGTATGGAATTTATAATAAAATAAATCAAAACATGTACAACAAGTTGCTGTACCCAGGGCTTGCAAAAAAGGAATCACAATTTGTGAATAAGATAGCCATGAAAATATCTTTCACAAAGCCTTCTGAAATAAAAAGCTGGTGTTAAAAATTTGGGTTGGTATTTGACCCCCTTGCATTGGGTGGTTTACACCACCAAAAACAGCCCCACTATCTTCATAATCAATAAAAAAGAACTTTTCATATGCTTTGATGAACACAAAACCCTCTATAATCTGATTTGTTTTATTCCRTGTTTGTATTTAATTTAAGCATCTATGGTTGTTGTCTTTTTCTATCTCCAGAACACTTTTTTCTGGCATACATTTCACAACCCAAAAAGAATAGACTATGGTCATTGTCTTTTTCTATCTCCAGAACACTTTTTCTGGCATACATTTCACAACCTAAAAAGAATAGACCTAGCTAAACTTCTTGTCAATTTAAACCTGTCTTTCCCCTACCCTATCAATATCCAAAGAGCATAACACCCTCTAAAGATTTAAGAAAATTCTAACTAAAAATAAAGCAACCAATACTTCTTCAATATCAACTAATACATTTCACAACCTAAAAAGAATAGACCTAGCTAAGCTTCTTGTCAATTTAAACATGTCTTTCCACTACCCTATCAATATCCAAAGAGCATAACACCTTCTAAAGATTTAAGAAAATTCTAACAAAAAATAAAGCAACTAATATTTCTTCATCAACTCCCAAAAAATATAGCAGATAATAGACTTAAACATGACCAGCTACATGTCTTGAACTGCTGTTATAGTTAATTGCATCAACCATATCCATCAAGGATTGTAGGGTATCTTCTACTTCTAGATTTAGGTCAACTAGAATCCTAGTCTAACATACATATTTATTAGGTTACTCATGCATTTCCTCTTTCATGATGGAGAAGACAAAGTTGATGCAAATGCCTGGTTGGGGGGGTGGGGGGATTGAGAAAAATTGGGGAAAATTCATTCATTACTCATCAAAAAAAAGGGAAAAAAATAGAAGAATATTCACAAAGAAAAATAAGGCCATGATGCATGTGAACAGGAGAACACCAAGTCATTTTTGCCTCTCTAGTTGATATAATGACTTGTCAGTTCCTAGTAGATGACTAGTCAATAAAAAAATATGTCCCAAGTGTAAGATATTGATGCAATCTCATAAATAATTAATATAGACTGCAATTATGCAAGAAAAGAAAACATTAGGCTGGATAGGATAGGATAGGGAATGACGGCCTTTATTTTCCAAAGAAAGAGTACAACCTTGACCATTTGATGTGCCCTTTGTTTGTGACAACTCTCTATCAATACACCATTCATTGGAAGAAAATTTTAAAGAACTCCTTCACTACCTTGTTTTATTTTATGCCTTTTTTTCTATTTTATATACCATCATCCAACCAACCATGTTCCATCACAAATATTTAAAGCAACAGCATGAAAATAACAAAATGCAAACATATTCTATGTTCATTTCAAAATCATTATAATTAGAGATATAAAGTTATAAACAAACAAATAAAGTTGTAAAATGACTGTGGTTARTCGATGTTTAGTCATCCTAGGTGACCACATCATGAGTATCAATCAACTAGTTAGTGATGCAGTTGGTCTGGCCCTCAATTGATGGTTGACCAATCAACACTTCGATAATATTGTATTATAGTTGAAGCTTTCAAATAGTTGTAAGGGATTTGCATCATAAACTTGGAGGGATAATGGAAAGAGAGCATATATATAGTAAAACATTCAAATTACAAACATGGAGAAAGCCACAAAATGATTTTTTTTATAAGGTAAGAATTTATTAAAGAGCATCCCCATAGAGAGGCACGAGGTGCTACCTCTCACACATCAAGCAAATTACAATTGACAATTACAACTGAGTCCAATACAAATTATCCCTATTTACCCCTTGTTTAGCTAACAAAACTGCCATAGCATTAGCTGCTCTCCTGACCCAAAGTATTCCCAAATTCATGTTTTTGGTTAGCCATTTAAATTTCTTCATCTCATCCCTATAGCACCAAGTTATAGACTCTGGATCCTTTAGCCACCGTACCACCAATTTTGAGTCCCCTTCAATCTCCACATTTATCAAGCCCATGATCACTTGCAATTTGTACCCCTTTCAAAGCAACAATAAGTTCCACCCTAATGGAATCCCCAACTCCCACTGGACCAGAGAATAATGCAATGATATTTCCTTCTTTGTCTCTCAACACCCCTCCTATGCCTGAAGGGCTAGGGTTGCCTTGATTACTTCCATCAAAGATTAGTTTAATGAAATCTTCGATTGGGGGCTCTGGGCTTCCACATTATATTTGCTTTTTCTTTTCTGGATGAACTTCTGGTCACCACTTCCCAATTTCTCCAAATATCACCAAAAGACAAATGTGAGAAAGAATCCAAGGTTCTAATCCAGTTTATCACCCTCACCATTATACAATCTCATATCACTTCATTACTTTTTTCTTGAAAAGATTCGATCATTTTGTTCTTTCCAAAGAGTCCATATTATCACTGCTCTTGCACTTCACATAATCCTCTTTTTTTTTTATCAGCATACTTCACATAATCCTTCCCCTTCTTTTAGGCTAGACAAAGGTAGAAGGGTCAAAAAGCTTGTCTACCTCCGTTTGAAAGGTCCACCTGCACCCAAACAAAGAAAAAAACATTTCCATATATTTGCAGCAAACAGGATATTAGTAAGTGACAATAATTTTCTTCATTGGATTTACAAAGAGTGCACCAGTTTGGGGATAAGCGCAAGAAGGGTCTTCTTTTTTGTAACATGTCCAAAGTGTTGATCTTCCCATTATATACTTCCCAACAAAAAGCTTCTATTTTGGTTGGAATGGGCCGACACCAAACTTCCTTGGCAGGGAAAGGTTGAGAAGGAGAAGATAAACAAAGAGACTTGAAGAAAGAAGCACAAAAGCAACCCTTTGGGTGAGGAATCAAAATACATCTATCTGGTTTGGGAGGATCCAAGCAAACAGAAGCAAGAATTTGCAACAGCCCATTCAACTCAACAAATTTGGTGTCCCTCAACCCTCTTTGTAACCCAAAATCCCAATTATAACCCAAAGGAAGAAATGGATGAGCAATAAAACCTGTGACACACTTGTTTTTATACAAAGACAGAGAACAAAGAAGGGAAAAATTCTTAGAACTTCTTAGCTTCAAACATTATCTCACCTCTCCAACCGTGAGGTGTCTTAAAATTACTTGCTTTGATTCGTGACGGTATTACTTGTCAAGGAAACCTGGTTTGAGTTTAATTTTCTTCTAACTGAAGCAGTTTTTAGGGACCACAAGGAGAATATTCTTGGTCAGTTTTCAGGCCCTATAATGGAAGGAAATTCTATCGAGGCTGAACTGAAAGCTGCATTGCAAGGTCTCATATTAGCAAGAAACCTAAACCCAAGGAAACTGGTTGTGAATGGGGACTTGAAGGTGGTGATAGACTGGCTCAAATATAACAAACAAGGACCAAGGCAGCACTGGAATACAACTTGAAAGAGCTAAAAACTTTAGCAACAGAATTAAATGTAAGCTTTACACAGATGTATAGATCTGAAAATGTGGTGGCAGATACCATGGTTAGACAATGGGTGCATAGAACACATGTGTATGGGGGTACTTTGTAGGAGGAATCACAGTAAGGGGAGGGGCATGGGCCAGCCTCACTAATTGGATGCTGGGCATTCTTGTACATGTAATCCATTCTTTTTTTTCTGATAAATTAATCCATTCATTTTTCAATAATTAATGAAATAAGTTACACTGTTGCTGACCAAAAAGAAAAACAGAAATGATAATTGAAACTTAGTGTTGTTGGAATTCTTTATGAACAACTAAGAACCGTACCTAGTGAAAAGATGAATGTCTTATTAAAAGAAAAAGAAAGCAGACCTAAAAGAAAATACTTTGTCAAGGTATTATAAGTCACGTCATATAGATGGACAAATTACACAAGAGAGAAGACCTAGATATACAAGGCCTTTAGCATCCAGAGGGAACCACTTATTCCATTGGGCTCTAGATCAGCAAACTCTCAAGCTAATGCACTTGTTAGAGTAGTATAACGAGGATTGAGCTTTTTTCTGTGGAACATCATTACATCATCACCTAGCTGAGAATGCCATGCTTAGTAAATATTTGTATAGGGAAACAACCATGGTCATTGTGTAGGGGTAGCCCCAAATTCTCCTTTTTCTATGAGCCTTAAGCTTTGTATTTTCATTTTCATTATATAAAACTTTCTACAGTTTCAGAGAAGGAAAAAGAAGTAATAGAAAATTCCATACCTCCCCAGCAGCCTTGGCCAAATTGTTTGCTAGCAAATTAGCCTCTCTAAGTGATCAACTAAATGAGACATCTGACATGGTGTCAGACCTCTAATTTCAATGTTGTGAGAAATATGTTGGCTCCCCATGCCTTCACTTAACAGAAGGGGTTGCAGTAAACCCCAATGGCCAGAGAAAAAAGTACACTTTCTAGTAAACAATTCCCATCCTCAAGGCTTCTGCATTGCCACTTCAGTACCTTCTCTAGGTGCACTTTGTGGCTATTTTCAGAGTTAAATGCTGATGTCCAATACAGCAAAGATATTGTGAAATTGATGCATATTTGAAGGGAAAAAGTTCTATGCAGGTTGTTTTCCTTTGTGGCTGGAAATTTACAAAGCGTCCAAATGAGTATGAGCATCTCTCCATATCATAACCATAATAATAATTATAATCATTTCAAAAGTTGGTCTTTGGATCTTTATCTACATTCTATAGCATCCTGATGCTCACATGATACATATTTACATGCACAATTGCTTTTTTTTATAATTAAAGTAAATGCATAATTGTTTTTTATAACAGAATTATTAACTTTGTCTCTTCAAAAAAAAAAAACAGAAACGAGAGAAAATAAAGAAGATACCTTATTATGATGATAAAAACTAATACATAACGGTACTTCTGTCTTTTAAAATAGTACTTTTTCATGAATTAGTGTCGGATAATATCAGTCTTGTTAGAAAATGAATTCCCTCTGCAATAGGTTCTTGGATGATATCAGTCTTGTTTCTGGTTAATGAGCATGCTGAATTAACTCGTAGGCTTCCATTATTCTCCTCAAATTTCAACTGACAATCTCAATAGTTTATCAGCAAACTTCACAACAAGATGAGTGCATGAACCAAGATTAAGAATGGGGACAAGTCGTTTAATTTTGATAGCTTAAAGCAAACCAGACAAGTATGACATAACGTTTTACACAACAGAAAAAGGAAAAGGCATAAATAAACTAGAATAACATATTCATTTATGAATGCCGTCTCGATAAGTGGATCAAAAAATATGAGTTCTGCATTTTAAGCTATCAAAATTACGCACTCAAGACCAATTCTGGTTCAAAAACTCGCAAAAAGCTCCAGTAAACGAGACGCGAAATTAAAGTAACCAATAACTACCTCCAGAAATCCACCAGTATCAGCGGCAAGCGCCTGCAACGCTTTCTGAGCTTCATTCAATTTAAGTCCCGCCTTACTTGCAACATCTCCAATAGTAACTCTACCTCCAAACGAATCAACGGCCTCCATTGCTCGATTTCGAACATCGGACGGCAATTTATCAGTCTCAACAACATTTCCAGGTTTAATTCCCGCAGGAATATCAATACTTGCTCTAACTACAGGGAGGACAACTCTAGGGCTTTGATATTTGCAGGCATTTCGAAGCAGAACCGAAGTTTGGAGGCTCGGAGACTGAAAATGCAGAGTTTTACTGAGAGATGGTTTCACAGAGAAGGCGCGATGAGAAGCCAGGCGGGTCCTAGCCGTTACAGCGAAACATGTTGCTACAGAGGCCATGGTGATTGATATATAAGGATTTCAGGTTTTCGCCATGAAAGAAAGAAAGAAAGAGCTGTCCAAGCTCTTTATCGAGGTCGGTTGAGTGGTTCAAAATTCCAGTTTTGGATCTTTTTGCGTTCTTTGTCTTAAAAATCCATTAAAAGTTTCAATCTTTGGTGCGAAACTAAACACTACGAGGGAGGAAGGAAATCAACCAATTATCATCATCAGAACTGAAGAGTCAAGATTGCGTTTTAATGATTTACCCAAAAAAAAAAGAATTTTACCCGAAAAGAAAAATGCGTTTTAACGAAATTACCAATTCGTCCCTATCAACAAAACACGTTCCAATTCTTTACCAACATCTCATACATGGCAGGGCGGATCTCACTTTTATGGTGATCCCATCCCAATTGGATAAAGGCCCTCCTGTAGATGCCAGTGACACTGAGTAATGGGCCACTGACATTCTGATCCTTGAGTATAGAATAAAAATTTGGGTTTTAAAAGATAATCTTGGATTTTGCTTTGCTGTTTTATATGAAATTAAATTTTAAAACAATAATGTTAGAGATTTTTTTTTTTTGATGTAGCAGAGAAAGTTAATTTTCAAAAAAAGTGCTCGAATACGTCCAAGGTATGACAATAAAAGAAAAAAAAAAGTGAGAGAATAGAGAAATAAATCCATCAACAAATTCAAGACCAATCTATTGAAAGAATCAAATATTGCTCTTTAATAGGGATGGCAACAGGGTGGGTGCAAGTATGATTTTGTAAATTCTAGTATTCTATATCTTATCCACCTCCTTACGCCGCTCAATTTGTACCCTACTCAAGATCAATAGTGGGTTGGATTTTTAAAATCCAAAACCTCTCTTTACATGAAAATGCAAAATCATTCCCAATTCTACCCTCTTTATAGGAAGATGGGTGGGTTGGATCTAGAATTTGCATTTAATTTCCTATTGTTTCTTGTTATATAAGCAATAAATAAATAAGATAATATAAACAATCATCAAAATTTCTAATTATTTGATTAAAGCAAATATAAACCACTTAAACTATCAATTGTCCTTCACATAAATTTCAAAATTGTATTAAATTTAACACTTAATATATAACTGGAAAGGTTGTGTTTAACCTAATACAATGCCCAGCCCGCACACATACGAGTTGTTAAATCCCAAAACCTATCCTCACCCCAAAATCCATTTTCAAGCCCCAAAACCCTCCACTTTGGGGGTAGGTACCCATTGCGTATGGTAGAAATTGTCATTCTTAGGCATCATGAAAGAGAACATGTGAGACCTTTACAAAGGGAAATTCCCAATTAGTACCTTGTACTTTGGGCCTATTGCCACTTTGGTCTCCGAACTTTAAAATGTGACAATTCATTACCTGAACATTCAAAACGTGTCAATCTAATACCTACCGTTAATCAGCCGTTAAACGCATTTGAAAAAAGACACATGCCCTTCGAGTGTCATCTAATTTTCTTTATCAATCATCTAAACATTGACAAAATATTAAAAGTCCTAAATCATTGTCTATTTTTTTCAAGAAGGTTGGGGTCCAGAATTGAAGAAGCAAGGATTTGTCATTGTTAATATTTTGTCAACATTTGGATGGTTGATAAAGAAAATTAGATAACACTCGAAGGGTATTTGTGTCTTTTCAAATGCCACTTAACAATTGGTTAACAACTTATTAACAGTATATACTGAATTAACACGTTTTGAAAGTTTGAGTACTGAATTGTCACATTTTAAAGTTAAAGAACCAAAGTGACACTAGGCCCAAAGTACAAGTGCTAATTGGGAGTTTTTCCCTTTACAAATGACATAAAACCATGGAATTCCATAAAGAGGATCAAGCATCCAACAAGACAAACTCAACAAGAAACTTCCATAAGAAAGAAACTGGTTATCACCTCATGATTACTTGCTTAGTTGCTAAAAAAGTTTCGGAGTGGGTTTTATCCCTCTTTGGGTGTTTTCGGACTCCCCCTAGGAGTGTCTAAAGCTTATTCTCTTATTCTTTTTTCAGATGGTCGAAGAAAAGAAGGAAGATTATGTGGATAAGCATTAGGGCAGTAGTGTGTTAGTCCCTTTGGGAAGAAAGAAACTCCCGAATCTTTTCAGATAAGGAAAGAACCCTGAAAGATTTATTAGATATAATTCTTGTTAGGGTAGCACACTGGCTGAAAACTATGGAGTTGTTCTTAAGTTATTCTGTGGCTGATTTGGTAAGAAATTGGAAAGAGATAGCTTCCTCTGTCCTATGTAAGAGGACTCGTAGCCCTTCTTGGACCCCTCCCCCCTCTAGGTTCATAAAACTAAATTTTGATGGTAGTTACTTAAGGAATCCAAGGCCTTTTGGGATTGGGGGAGTTTTTCAGGAATGATGATGGGGTTATTTTTGCTATGTTCTCGGGCCCAATTGGAGAAGGAGACTCTCTTAGGGCTGAGGTTCTTGCTGCCCTGGAAGGTGTCCAAAGAGCYAAAGATTTGAACATCAAATGTTTGGTTCTTGAAGGTGACTCAGAGGTGGTGATTAGATGGCTAAAATAAGAAGACAGTGGTTTATGAAGGTATAACAATGAGAGGAAAAAAAATTCAAATGGCTGAATAGGGATATGGTAATGCAATACAACTGGGTGAAAATAACTACTAACTCAGTTGTGGATGGATTAGCCAAGCAAGGGGTGAATAGGGAATCTATATTTTGGGCTAATTTTTAACTTTACTCTGTTGGTGGGGAGTTAAGACATTTTACCTCCCCCCTCTTGTTGTAATTAAAGTTTCACATAGTTTCACACATTAATAAAGCTTCTTGTTACTGATTAAAAAAAAAAAAAAATCCAACCACTAAACCCAAYCCCATAGTAATCAAAGAGTAAGAAGGCCAACAGATTTCTTATACGAAACCAGACAAATCAGCCCACAAAGCATGCATTTGTGTAGCCCCAATTCACTAACTCAGAAAGGATGAGGAATGGTTTGACTCGGAAGGGCGGTGGTTGCAGATTTTGGTGGAGGAAGGGAGGAGAGACGTTCTCCAAGTGGTTGATCCTTCTGATGACCTTCCTTACAAAGAGAAATTCTTTAGTTTATATGAAAAAAAATAGGAATGATAAATGTTACAATAACAAATCCGCCCACCCACAGATTATTCTGGGCAAGCTTTAAATTGTATGTGTGCTTTGAAGAATATCCATGAGAATGAAACCAATGAAAGTACTAAAATTTGGAAGTATGTTGTGTGGATCAATCCCAAACCTGAGACCATAAAAATAAATTTTGATGCCTCTTGCAGATCTAATGGCCAGTGCTCCATTGCTTGCATTGTTAGGGATCATCTAGGTGCTGATTCTTGATCTAAAAAAGCCTATCTGCACTCGTTTCACATCGATCAATTTAACTGAAGTTTGGGCTGCTTGGGAAGCCATCAACATTACTATCAATTTCAACAACTACCCAAACATTATCAAAGATGATTCAAAAGCTCGTTGTTGACTGCTTGAGGAAGAAAGTGAAGCCTTGTCGAAAAATGTCTCCGTGCCAGTATCCTCTTCAATTCTAGCATCACATTCCAGTATGTTTATCGTGAAGCGAATCAAGTAACGGACTAGCTTGCGTGCAATGCCTAGTGGCTCAGTCAATCAAGATTGTATCTCTTGGGACCTTAGATTTGTTTGCTTTTGTGATTCTTGGGGCAAATGTGAACATGTCTAATTAATGCATGTACCCTTAATTACCATTATAAAATATTATTGAATATCTCTTTTTTAGCAAATCCCAATTATCGGTTTGTTTGTAAATAATTGGTTTGACTCGATTCAATACATCCCAAATTTATGCCGGGTTGGTCAGGTTGATGTACTTGTATAAATCCACTTACACTGACAAACAAATTTGGATATTACCTATATCCAGTTCAATTTGATTCATTCGCAGTCCTAATGTGGGGAGCCTGCCCTAATGTATGAATGCAAAAAAAAAATGTAGTAAACAAATAAATCTAATTGAAAAGAAAACCAACAAGAATTTAATTGGGAAAAGGTTCATGAATGATGATGTCAATACATAATCTAACCATTAAATCTCACATATAGTCTAAAGTAATGCAATCCTGATTGAAAAAATGAACTCTATAAGAAGTTGAGCTGTTGAGGTAAAGCTTTCATGGCTTGAGTCAAGCCCACAATAAAAGCTCAAAATGAGTCCAGATCTAATAGTTCTTTTTAGCTAGGTATGTTGTTAGTTACCCAATACAGACCTTCCACGTGTCCTGACTTCATGTGATTACTCTACCACATGCAACCATTGACACCAGTTCTGATTCCCTTACAGCAGATGTGGACTAAGCTTCAGAGGTGAACTTAGGTCCCAAACTTCTCTCTCTAGCCTGTGCTTGATCTGGACATCTATTTGTACCATTCTGCGGAGGATCTAGCTGATCTGTAATATGTCAATATCCACTACTGAGATGAGGCAGTTTCTCTATGGTTGATATGAACTTCAGATGCTTTGGATACTTTGGATAGAGTTCCAAGTTTCAATTGTTTCCTCTTTCAAGCCATGGTGGTTCATACTTTTTTTTTTGATCGGCAACACAAAAAAGATTTCATTAATTAGAAGAAATGAAGATTATAACAAGTTGTGAAAGAAACCAGCTTTAGGAGCTGTCCCAAAACAAATTACATTTGAGCCCAAAACATATGTTTTCTATGTATCCCTTGCTTGGATGGTGGTTCATACTTTTTTACAAATCTCCCAAAGCTGCTTACCGTGGGAGCAATCTGAAAACTTCATCAACAGTTCCCTGTAAAGACCAAACCAATAAACCATTAAGCCATTCCTCTGATTGCTTTTTGACCTAAATTACCTATGCGTGGCATATCAAACTGCCTGGCATAGAAATAAACACAGAGAATGAAAAAAAAAAGAAAGAAATCTGAGGCCATTGCTTTGTACAGTGGCAAAATCTTGGGCTGACAAGTGTGAGAATGTGGTTGAGTCTAAAACTGGCCACTTGACTTAAAAAAAATGTCAGAGGCTAGGCTATGCATATAAATGGAATTGACTCAAAGGATCAATCGCAAAGGGCCACTCATATCATCTCAATCACCAAGGTACTACAACTAGTCCAAGATCTGACTGCCAAGGACCAATTGAACAGACATTAAAAAATCATCCATTACCATTCTAAATGCATATATCTGCATTCTAGTAGTTCATGAATTTGTATGTCACCAATAAAATAGAAAGGGCTTTGAATATCTCAGCCATAAATTCAGCAAGTAGCCTTCTTTGGCCTTTTTCCACATCCAGCATCTATACCAGTTAAAGAAAATAACATGCTTTTGAGCTTATCCAATACTGAAAATTAATCATAGTTCAAATACTGAAAACTCTATCCAAGGTGGGCAGACCATGATTATATCCAATATTGTCATAGCTTTTTTTTTCAACAGGGAAGTTAACTGATCAACAATAAGATTGTTTTTCTTTATTTGTTCATAACCCAATTAACTAAATGCAGCCAAATTATACCATCTTTTTACATCACATTTCAACCAAAATGTGATAGCTTCTTCTATTAAAGACTTTTAATAGGAAAGGAAGAACAGGATTTTTCTGGCTTTAAAAAAGTGTGGGAATACAGTTGAAGAAGAGAAGGAAGGAGAAAAATCAGATGAGAATTGATAGCTACAATACATCAACTGTTATATACAAAATTGGTCCACCTCCCTCAAATTGCTTACTACACCTTACAGTTTTATTATTATAACTTTTGGGCCATATGGAGAAAGACTCAAAACATCAAATATACAGTAGTAGAAATATGGTTGCATTCAATGAGAGAAACTGATGTATACAGTATTCCCTTTTGCCAGCCTAAAGCCATGATAATTCCAAACCTTAATTGACCTTAAGATCCCTTCTCACATACTTGAACCATAGCCACCATTTTGAGAAGTATGACTCCCACTCTAGCTGTTCTGTTCTCATATTTGCAAGAGATAATCTTCCAACAAGCTCGGTTATTCATTCAGCATCTCCATGGTCATCTGCCCAAACTCCATTCAGTTGTTTCAATGGGCAATCAACTTGCCATTAAATGGACCCCCCCAAAGTACCTCACATTTTACCATAGTACTTTTTGTTGTTCAACACATTCCACAGAAAATCTTCCTTCAACTTTCTCTATATGCAATAAGCACCACGTATTAAATAAATGTGCATAGATACATAAATAAGAAAAGGCAATACACTGGAAGGTTTCAATCACATTTGTAACCCTTGAAGGAGATACTACATCTCTTATAAGGCCAAGCTTGTCGTAAAACATTCAACCACTAGATACCATATAGCTTTGGAAGTTTGATCCATGGTTGAATCCAAGAGAAATGCTTTTAAGTATGTGGCAGGTAGCAAATAGAGTAAGACCTCCTCGAACAAGAACTACAATTGTCAATCCTTTAGAGTGCTTGTACCAACTTTGCATCCAAGAACCATAGACTGATTAATAAAYTACAATGAAGATGTTTGAAAGCTCCCATTGCCCTTCAAAAGCCTCTAACCATTTCACCACATTCAGGTCTCTAATGACTTGATGCCTTAGCCATGGTTACAAAAGAGAAGGATGAAAATGAATATACTTGGCCATATCTCTTGAAACTCTGCAGGATCATTCTGGTATTCCATTGATGAGAATCAATGAATATACACCTACTCCCAAAGTATGATTTGGTGCAGAAGATATTCCGGGAAAAAACTACTAAACATTGTATTATGCCAGCCTTTGTATGTCCCCTATACATAAACTAGAATGCCACACGATTTTTAAATCAATAATTCCACTAAGAACTCAATTCCCAATTTAGGATCCCTCTACAAATGAATCCAACAATTCTTGAAAGTGCCTCAATACTTTCAATTTCACTTGCCAAACCTGCTTTTCTATGTGAACAATATTAAAATCAGCAACTTCAAATGAATCTCTCTACTCTCTTCTTCACTAACAAGTGAAGTTGACATTTTGATAAGTAAAGCAAGTGACAGTTAACATTAGCCTCAAGAACTTCTGAACTGCAAAAACTTAGAATACCAACCAAAACAAATATTATTAACTCACCCACCCATGAAATTTCTTTGACAATGAGCAGACTTGTTTCCAGTCTGAAGTCCATCCATCAACCGGTTATAACTTGCAATATCAGTTATAAATCCCTTGTCCAACATCTCATCAATCATACCTTCTCCCTCCTTCGTTTTACCCTCTCTAGAAAACCCAGAAATCAATGCATTATATGTCACACCATCTGGTTCCAAACCCTTGCTAGAAGCTAAAACCTTTAATCTATGTGCATCCATTGTTCTTCCCACATTGCACAGAACTAGGAGAAGACAGTTATATGTCACACTATCTGGTAAAATCCCTTCCTTTAACATTCTTATCATCAAACACGATGCTTCCTCTATTCTTCCCAATCCCTTCAAGCCTTCAATCAGAGTGGTACAGGCAACAGGGCTTGGAAATTTCCCTTTATTCCACAACTCACCCACTAGTAGCAATGCCCTATCTGCTTTAGCTTCCCTACAGAGCCCCTGAACGAGATTGAAACAATCAAACCCATCAGGAACAACACCTTTTCTTGCAAAGTCAATCAAGAGATCACAAGCCTCCAAAGCCCTGTCTTCTCTACAAAGCCCATCAAGCAGAATCTCGCACGTTGCATTCGAAAAGTCGCAACCCAAATCAAGCATTTCATATGCCATCYCAATCCCCTCTTTGAATTTCTTCTCTCTGAAAAACCCCTTAATCAGCGTATTGAAACTAATGACATTAGGTTCACAACCCTTGGCTCTCATTTCTTTAAACAAACCTAGAGCAGACTGGAACTGTGCATTGCGACAGTAACTGCTGATCAATATATTAAAAGTAAACACATCCGGTTTAACCCTATCTTTGAGCATCCCCCCATACAAATCCAAAGCTTTCTGATGTTCTCTGGATCTAACAAAGCCATTAATCAATACATTATAGAGAATTACACTAGGTTTACCATCAATCGATTTCCGCATGCTTTCAAATGCAAACAACGCCTCATCCAATCGCCCAAATCTACAGTAAGAATTAATGGCGAATCTGAAAATGGGTTCAGTCCTAGGGCACGAGAAAATTCCATCAGAGCAAGGACAAGGGTTCGAAACCATGCTTTCAAGGACGGACTGGAGCTCAACGAACCGGTTGGTGATCGCTAGAGTTCTGACCATCCATTCATAGGTGGAGTGATCGTGACGGAACGAATCGACCCCGGAAGCCCATCGAAAGATGTGGATATCGAACTGTGTAAATTTGGGGTGATGATGTAGCTTTTTTTTCAGAAACTTGAGGAGATCTTGAGGAGTAAATGAGGGTTTGAGATGGGTTCTAAGGAATTGCAGCAACTTTTCTTGAGACGTGAGGGAGAGTGAGACTGTTGGGAGAGGGGCAGGTGAAGAGTTTCCAGGCAGGCTGGCTAGATTAGTGTTTTCTATAGAGATAACACGAGCCGATGAAGAATACTGCAAAGGTTTGAAGACGGGTTTTGGCAGTTTCTTGAATGCCATTCGATGAAGCTCCAAAGAGAAGGCGGAGATCAGAGAGTAAACAGTCTCCGATCGGAGGAATGCTTGTGCTACCCGGCGGCCACCAGCGTGGATATGGATATGAATTCTACTCTGACCTCTCGATTCCCGGGAATTTAAAATAACTATATCTTTCTACGGTGGTCGGTGGATAATATAATATGTGATAATAGGGGTAAAAGAGTAATTACATAACAATCCCCAAAAGGCCAAAACGAGGCAAAACTCTTATCACAGAACTCACCACCGCTGCCAGTAGAGGCTTGCTTCCGGCATGTTGTTCTCCCGGAGTTGGACGACCTTGATCAGAGAGAAACCGCTAGAACTCAAGTTTCGTTACATGAAACAGGTGCATTTCCCATGTTTCACTCTTTTTTCTGATACCACTGGTGAATGATAGTTTGCTGAGCGGTTAGAAGTTTTCTCATGGATCAGCCTGACTATAAAACGAACCCAAGTTCGGCAGCAACCATATATATCTTTTTCTTGTCATCCTGTGTAATATATGTTAATTTCTGATATTTTTTGTTATTTTTTTCAGATTGAGATTACAGTGGCTTTCAATAAATCTAAAGTCTGAAGTCGAAAAAAAAGAAACTGAAAAATCTCTGAAAGTATTTAATGGAAAGCTTGTTTTTCTGCTTTCGCAAATATCTGAACATAAAGGAGTTGTTCGGTTATTTAAATGTTTTGCTATCTAAAAAATGTCCAGTTTATAAATTTACGCCTCAAATTTGTATTTAAATAATAATAGTGAGAATGATTAAAATATTATAAAATCTTAAAATAATAAAAAATAAATATTAAGAAACTATCAAATTAATAAATAAGATTAAAAATTAATAAAAGAGTAGTACTATAAAATAATATTAATTTTAAGCGAACAAATATTATAGTGTTTTATTAAATATTATAAAATTATATTAATTTATTAATAAAGAAATTATAATTCGAGAGAAAAAGATAAAACATAAATGTTAAAAAATAAAATGAATTTTCTCCACCCCCTCCTCCTCTTCCCCCATCTCCCATCTCTTTATTATTTTTCTTTTCCTCGTCCTTTGAGAAAACCCTAAACGTAGGAGTACTTTCGTTCAAAAAAAAAAAAAAATGCAGAACAAAGCTGGTCCGTTCAAGGGGTGGATCAATAAATGCATAATAGAGGAGCTCTTCGTTCCAAAAATGCATAACATAACTGGTTCGTTCAAGGGTATAAATTTTGGATAATTTTTACATGGGCACACATAAGGTAAGTTCTTACAAAATCTTTTTACTAGTTTATTGCACATCCATCGCATTTCTTCTTCTTGAGCAGCGGCACGAGAGCAGTAGCAGCTTTTCTTCTCCCCATCTCTCCCCTTATTCTCAGTTTCCACCATCTTCTTTATTCTTTTTCTTCTCCACCTCATCCTTTTCCCCCATCTTCCATGTCTTTATCATTTTTCTCCTCACCCTTCTTTAAGAAAACGCAAAACATACGAGTTTTTTCAGTCAAAAAATGCAAAACAAAGCTAGTTCGTTCAAGGGGTGGATCAATAAATGCAGAATAGAGGAGTTCTTTGTTCCAAAAATGCAGAACATAACTGGTTTGTTCAAGGGTATGCAAAACGAAGGAGCTCTTCATTATAGAAATGCGGAACAAAGTTCCTCGTTCAAAAAATGCATAGGACGGACTTTTTTCGTTTTAAAAAAAGAACGATAGTGGAACTAATAGTGAACTGGTTTGTTTTAATGGTAGAAAAAATGCAACAATGAAACCAGAGCTCAATTGTTGCGGCTGTGCAATATAATGGTGGAGAGGCTAGCCACTACCATATGCTTACGAGCTTTTGAGCTTTTGATTTTCATAAAGGGGCAAGATTGGAAGTGTAGTTTCGTCCGCTACCTCCGAATGCGCTCAGAGGCATCTCAATCACTTAGGCTACGTTTGTTTGGGGTGGAAAATGAAACCAGCGTAAATTTTATACCTCACTTTTATTTTACTAGTGTTTGGTAAACATGTAATTTTACACCAAAAATCCATGTACAATTACATTTTAACTTAAATTTACATCTCTCTCTTTTCTCCTCTCTCTTCTTCTTCTCTTTCTCTCTCTCGCTCGCTCGCTCACTCTTCTCCTTCTGTCTTCTTCTCTGATTCACCCCCATTTTTTCTCTTTCCACCGCTGCCACCTGCCTTGATGTTTTCTCCGGTCTCCACTACACCCTGACACTCTACTCACTGAATTCTTCAGTCTTCACTCACCCTTGAGAGGAGACCCTGACTCATTCCCACCTGTTCCTCCTCTTATCCCCTCCCTGAGRCGCAGAGCGTTTAATAGAATAAAACCAGCCACATGAAGGTTTTAGCTTTTCTTYTTCTTCATTCGTGCTCTGTTTCTCACAAAACCAGGGCATAGAACGTTTTATAGTTCCCTTCTTCCTATTAATCATCTCCATTGTTTCTTTTGCAGGTAAAAAAGGCTACCAAAACGTGTGCATATGCAAGGTCTCAAGTCTAACCACCTTCCTTCGACAGTGAATATGGTTCGGCTTCTCAAGCAACGGACTGTTACTTGTTATAGTGGTTGCCTCGCCATCTTCTGTGACCTATTCTATGCCGCCTCGAGTTCCGTTAAGTCTCGCTTTTTCGAAAAGGAAGGTATTCACCACTCACCAGGACCCTAAGATTCGAGTCTGTCAGCTAACCCCGACCAAACGACATCAACTCGTGGCGACGACATCAACCGAAGAACTATGTCCGCGTCACACGTCACAAGAAACGGGTATGGATTGAACATGCTGACGCTGTCTCTAGCTTTGCCGTTAGCAATGGTTTAATCTACTCCGTTTTCCTGGGGCAACTGCTTGAAAGTATGGTGGGCGTTGRATCTCCGTTGCTTGGAGTTTGTGAAACCTAAGGCAGATCTCTGCTGCAACCAGCCGAAGATGAGCAGTTGTTCGTTCTCTCTTTCTCTCTTTTCCTTATTTTTCTTTTCTTCCCCTATTTCCCTGCTCGTAGATAGTCTTCTCCTCTATTTTACGTTGATGTAACTAAATAGGATGAGTGTAAATCGACGCAATGGCCGATCCATATTTTACACTCTTACCAAACCATCGTGTCTCAAATGTAAATCGATGCATTTACACGGGAAACAAATGCAAACGATTCGGAGGCATTTTGATGTTTGAAGGAGCGGTCCAGAGGTGCAACCGAACGACCTACGATCGCTGAAAAATTAAGCAATTTTTGTAGTGTTTAGGTGACCATTCAGTGCAGTTTCGTCCCCCTTGACCCCTCTTCTCCCCAAAGTAGTGATTGCGGAACTCAAATCCATGTCCAACTTATCTGTTTGGTCACTTGCCTCTGACCATCGGCAACCTTTCCGATCTACCTTTAGCATCAACGCAATTACCACCTAATGATAGTGAACGGACTTCACTTTCTTTAATAAAATTGTCTTAAACGGTGGTTATTCAAGATTAATTTGAAATTTTGTTCCTTCTTTACCACAACGTATTATTCAAGATCTCTCTCTTACTTGAACGGTTTAACTTCTATTTGAATATCCTTTTAATTTGTCTTACTTTAATCGTTATCATGACAACCTCCCATGTGCGATGCACACACACACTTGCTAGTAAAATTTCATTTGACAATGGTTGTGCATGCCGGGAAGTGAAGCAATGGAGTCAACTCTCCTTTGTTGTAATTTCTTGTAACGGGGTGTTTTTTTTTTCCTTCATGTATCAAACTTCCAAATTCACATATGTGCCCCAAAAATGTCTCACAACACATCCCAATCGTGTATTGCAAACATACATCTCACAGTAAAAAAGTACAGATATTCCTAATGCATGCTGAGATGTGCATGTGGAATATTTTTGGGGCACACTCTTTGGGGCATAGAGTTATAAGTCATACTTCTACGTGCTCATCCAATCATAGTGCTTTTTGATCATAAAAGATAGGGAAAAAATCCTGATTAGTATCATATGTCACTTTGGTCTATGTATTTTAAAAACGACAATTCAACACTGGAACTTTCAAAATGTGTCAGTCTAGTACCTATCATTAATAGGTTTGTTTAAGTGGAATTTAAAAAGATAAAAATACTCATTGAGGGCCATAATTTTCTTTATCAACCATCCAAACGTTGATAATAAATGAATGGTCCTAAATCATTGTATCTTTTAATCATGAAAGTTGGGATCATTGAATTCTTATTGAGATGTGACCCCAACTTTATTGAATAAAAGAGGCAAGGATTTGAGACTGTTTATTTTATATCAACAATTGATGATTGATAAAAAAATACTAAATGACACATGAAGGGCATTTGCATATTTTCAAATGCCACTTAATGGTTGATTAATGGAAAAACAGGTATTAAATTGACACGTTCTAAAAGTTTAGATATATCGCATTGTGCGTATAGTTTTATTTTGAGAGTATAGAGAGCGTATAGTTACAAGTCATGATTCTACGTGCTCATCCAATCATACATCAAGGTTGGACCCCTCCCCATCACCCCATTCCAGGTTTTGGTTGGGGCTTATATAATCACAAAGCCAAAACAGCAGTAGTTACAAGTCATAGTCGTGTCGGGTTGGATATTTTGGACGGGTTGGACGGTCCAAAAGATTATATGGACTCGGACCTCCAACTATCGGACGGTCCAAAAGATTATATGGACGGGTTCGAGACTAGGGCTCCGACCTCCAACAATCGGAGGAACTAAAGGCTTTACCGGCGGCATTCCCCTCTGTCTGGCGGCACTTCTCTCCAAGGATCTTATCGGCGATTTTCTCTCGCCCTCTCCCTCTCTCCAGCGATAGGAGGCTCTGTTTTTCTCTCATTCAAGTGTTCTCTGGCGACATTCCCCTCTGTCCAGCGGCACTCCCTTCTCTCCTAGGATCTCCAACGATAAGAGGCTCTATTATTCACTCATTCAAGTTTTCGTTGGCGAAACTCCCCTCTCTCCAACGAAATTATCTGGCGGAAGTCCTCTCTCTATCTGCTAATTCAGGTATTGGTTATGCTTTGTATTTTGGCATATAGGTGATTGAGATTGATTTACTTGAGTGTCATGTCTAACGCCATATACAGAGGCTATGCAATATTGTTTTGGGTTTTGATTGGTTATCAATCATTATCTCACCTTTTACTTTCACTTTGATATTATTCTCTCGGTCTTCTCTGATTTCTCTCTTTTTTTGATTTTATTCAAAACCTTGTTTCTGTATTTGTACTGTAGTAGGCAAAATTCCGGGTTATTCTACCTAGATGCCATAGAAAACTGGGGTTTAGCATAATTTTTGTATTCGTATTATCAGTATTATGGATTTATAGGTATCCTAAGACATTGAATTAAAATCAACTTGAACAGGTTGGACGGTCCAATAAGACATTGAATTGGACCACTCCAATCCAGTCCAGGTTGATATGAGATCTCATTATTTCAAGAGAAAAAACAGAGTAAAATGAGAATAACTGTAAGGCCATGCAAAAGATGAATATATTTTGATATGAGAAAAATGTATAGATAATCATCATATTATCAAGGACCTCATACTGATGTTTATATTTCTTAGTAGTCCTTCTACACTATTTAAGAAGCTCTTTATGTAAACCAAAACGAATATGCTATTTCTGTATATTGTCACAGCATGGTTTATATTGTCAATCAATTCTGTTTGGTCATGCTATTGATTGAAAAACAAATGATGACTTATTAGTTTAGCACTAGGGAAGGCAGAGGAATTAAGAGATTTCTCCACTAATGGTATCCCCATTTGGGGCCAAATGGCCAATGAACATTGAATCAAGAAAGCTGTGTGTTTGTGTGCCATTGTCCTGATATTGTGCTTATAATAGCACCTTCAGACTTCAGTTATACTTATCCATAAATTACCCAATTGTGTAGGCATTCAATTATTCTATGTATAATTTTATTTGATAAGTCAACAAGTTATCTACGTGCATCTGAATTTAAAACTAGCTATTTTTAATTACCATTCAATAACTTTTTTTATGGCTGGTCAAAGAGAAGAGGAGGCAGAAGAGGAGGGAGTTGGCAGATTTTTGGCCTCAAACTGATGAAAGTTTAGGATATATATTTTTCTGGGATATGGTCCACCTATTTCAATGGTTTTGAAAATTGTGATGTCATCTATTAGTTGGTAGAAGATTATTTCAAACATCAAGGTTTTGGTTGTATACTTGTATAGTTTAAACAGGATTACTGCTTGTATTTTAGCAGCAATAAAGTATGGTCTCCATCAAATACATGAAATTATTATTAGATATGTTGTTCTACCCCTTCCCACCACCCCATTCCAAAAACGATTAAACATGTAGAGATAAGTTTATGCATGATCCACTATTGCAAATGACTCTCTTGTGGATGGCTCAAGCTGTAAGCCTGTAACCAAATTTAATTTAACCAATTTCTTTCCTTCTGTCTTGCTTCTTGCATATTCCCAACTTCATAGCAAAGGGAACCATTCTTTGAAGCTTGGCCCTGAAAGTCAAATAGCATTGATGGCCAAGCTCATGCTTCATACAGTTTCTTAGGAATGTTACCTTTTCAATATCATAGATTGACTCTTTAATTTATCCACCATTAAGTTTTCACAGAGCTGCTAACTCCTTGGTGACCCAGTTATTTGAGCTTTAGGTAGGCTTTCCAGGTACAGTCTATGCACAATTTCATGTTATCTATTAATCAATTGATGAGTGGGATCTGTTTAGAATAATCTCCAATGACCCCTAAATCTGTTCCTCATTCATCCTATCACCGCCCTCTGACAGCCTATAAAGATTGGCAGTATCATCCCATGCATAATGGAGAAGAGTTGCACCTTCAGAGAACGCTTGCATGCAGTAGAGATATCCACATATGCATTAAAAGCTGCATTCAGTAGTGCTCCTAGCACTAAGATTAAGGAGGAATCATACCAACACTAATAAAGTCTTCTAACCTTGATGATGGGAACACTCTGAATTACTTTGGGAAGAACATCCCCATTAATCTTGTTGTTGCTGTCATTGCTGAAATTGTTCTTGTTGGGGGTGCAGGATATTACAGAATCATAAATGGTGAATGGCCTGGTATGCAAGCCTTATTCTTGATTTTCTAATTGTAAATTTGCTGCTTCTTCTCCTTCCATTATTGTTACAACTAAGAATTATGTTTTCTTAGTGAGTCTTGCACTACCAACTTTGAGGTTGGATGGTTCCTTGAGATTGTATTAGAGCCTCTTTAACCAAGTGATCTAGTGTTTAATTTTTGGGCAATCTGGTCTAAAAGGAATTATTAACACATCATTTAATTACAAATAAAATAGATAAAGCAGGGTTTTTATGATATTGTCACTTTGGCCTTTTCTATTGATATGGTCCCAAAATTTAATCCATTTGCATCTAACAGTTATGACAAGCTGAAGAGTTTTGCAGCAGCTTGGAACACTTGCAGAAGTTGGGACAAAATTCTCTTCTTGATGAGTCTTTTGTTAATAAGGACGAATTGGACTTGGATTGGATTGGACCCAATCTGATCCATTTGCATGTTAATTGGATTGGATTGGATTGTAGTAGATGTCTCCGTATTTTATTAATATTTTCTGGTTTTTTCATGTAATTTTGGTGTTTCATTCAATTTGCATTGTATTGGACTCAATCCAGTCCATTTGCATGTTAATTGGTTTGGATTGGATTACAGCAGATGTTATAGTTTTTTTATATATTTTATGGATTTCTATGTTACTTTGGCAYTTCATTTACTTTGGATTGGATTGGACCCAATCCGATCCATTTGCATTTAATTTGGATTGGATTGGATTGCAGCAGATGTTTTTTGTATTTTTTTAATATGTTTTAGCTTATTTTTTTCATGCAATTTTGTTTCTTCATTCACTTTGGATTGGACTGGACCCAATCCAGTTCATTTGCATTTTAATTGGACTGTATTGGAGTGCAGCAGGTGTTGTAGTTTTTTCTATATATTTTCTGAATTTCCAATGTAATTTTGGTGATTCATTCACTTTGGATTGGATTAGACCCAATTCGGTCCATTTGCATTTTAATTGGACAAGATTGAACCCAATCTGGTCCATTTGCATTTTAATTGGATTGGATTAGATTGCAGCAGGTGTTGTAGTTTTTTTTACATATATATATATATWTTTTTTTTCTGGATTTCTCATGTTATTCTGGGCTTTGATTCAATTTGGATTGGATTGGACCCAATTTGGTCCATTTGCATTTTAATTGGATTGGATTGCAGCAGGTATTGTAGTTTTTTTTTAATATATTTTTTTCTGGATTTCTCATGTTATTTTGGTGTTTGATTTAGTTTGGATTGGATTGGACCCAATCTGGTCCATTTGCATTTTATTTGGACCAGATTGGAGTTGGTTTGTATGGATTTGGTCCACTCCATTGTAAATGGACCAATATTGGATTGGACTAAATCCACTCCATTGTAAATGGAAATGGGGTCATTTCTGCCATGTTCTCAGGCCCAATTGGAGTGGGTGACTCCCTTAGAGCTGAGATCTTTGCAGTTATGGAAGGAGTCCAAAAAGCTAAGGAGTTGAACATCAGGAAACTCTTAATTGAAGGGGATTCAGAGGTGGTGATAGGGTGGCTGCTTAAA